GAGTTTGTTGAATCTGACGTTACATGTTCGTACGAACCCTTTGTACGAACAAAAGTAAGAGAAATTTAGGATAAGAATACGAACATGTTCTTGCATGAGGCCCAATGTTCTTAATTTTATGTAAACTCCTTCTTTGCACCATCATCTCCAGGGATTCCACAGTCGTCCTCAGAACCGAACCAGCTTTCTTTATCAAGTTGCTTAAACTTTTTTGGTCCCTGGCTCTGACAGGGACCAAAAGCTTGGGGGAAAAAAAACTTTTTCCCACGAAAACTTTCATGATCTTTTTTTGGGACAGAGCTGAGTCCAAAATAAATTTTTGCAATAAATCTTTATACTTTATTTAAACAGTAACTTTATTTTTTTCAAAAGAAAGTTTAAAAATAGATTTAACTGTCAGGGTGGAAAAAAATCAGACTAATATTCTGACAGAGCTTGTCCTTTCCTTTTGTCTGAACAATTCACTTCCTGTCTTATTTTGAAGCTCCCTGCAGAAGGACCAAGTCTAACAGATGAACTGATTTAATTAGCAGAGCACAAAACAGCTGTTCAGCATTTATTTAAAGAGAGCCAGATTCAGTACTACAGGCAGACCTTCAGTTACACAATGATGTATTTAAATAAAAGGAAGACATGTGTGAACAAATGAGACATTTATATAGAGGAGCAGCGTTGTTTTAATTTAAACTGTACTAAATGTTTACTCTAGCAGTTCCGTTTTAGTCTGTCAGATTGATGTTGTATCCTTGTTGTTTTTAAGGGGGTGGGGATATTATGCAAAATTTACTTTTTTGAGCTTTATATCATGTTGAAAGGTTATTCCCTCGTCAAAAACACACACAGAGTGTTGCTTTGACTCTTTCATGCATGTTTGAGAAATCATTAAATCTCCTCTGGTAGTCATTCAGAGGTGCCTAAATGCTTGCAAGTACAAAGCACCGCCTATTTACACAAAGCTCCTCCCCAGAGCTCATACCTAGTAGAACTGCATGTCTGTTGAGCTTGTAATACTTCTCAATCCAAACCTTTTTTGAATTAARAAACAAATGCATTTATCAAGGAAATGTATTTTTTAGATGCCAAGGAGACTACCTGTTGTGAAGATGTGCTGAAGTGGGAGTGTCGGAAACAGGAGGAGGTTCTTAAAGAGACAGAGGCCAAATTCAAGGCGATGCAAAGTCAAATTTATTTTTGATATAGACAGCATTTTCCTAACAACTGAAGATGACTTAGTTATTTGATTGTGATGTAGAATTGAACTATTTGAACATAACACCTCCGTTTTAAAAGTGAAACTGAGGTTTATTGTAAAAAAAAACCCCACTGACTTTAAAATCTAACCACTTCTTGTAAAGCTGAGGAAAGTATACCTACGCACCATTGATACAGGCCTCTTTGTCCCCTCTGTCGATGAGCAGGTATCTAGGACTCTCTGGGAACCACGGCAGGGTCACCAGCTGGATGAGGCCAGGAATGGCATTACTGGACAGAAGGTACTGCCAACACGCCTCACTTCCCAAAACCTCTCTTTAAACAAATAATCAAGATATTTAAATATAAATGACACTTAAAAAATAAATACATAAAAAGATAAGCCAGTTTTGGACCACTGTACCTGAGTCCGACCACCTGTCCCAACACGACCCCGAATGCTGTGAAAACAGCCGAGGACAGCGAGACGGCTCCTCTCAGGTGCTTCGGTGCACTTTCTCCAAAATACATGGGCTGCACGTTCATGCTGATCCCTGCACAACACATGTCTCACGCTCAGCACTCGTCTCATTCTGCTGTATGCAGGAAGGATTTATGGAGCGAGAGGGGAAAYACTAATGTCCGCTGACGTACCAGCGTTTATCCCGATGAGGACGCGTGAGATAATGATCATTTCAAAAGACTTGGCAGCTCGACTCGTCAACGCGAAGAGAGCGCCGCTCATGAGGAAAATATTGTTCAGCAGCAGACATTTCTTTCTTGTGGAGGGAAAACAGAACAGAGAATTTTGTGATTCTGTTGAAACATACAGATCCAGCTAAAATATGGATATTTAATAGAGAGAATGTCATTTTTAATAGTAAGAAACGTTGATAATATCAGTGCCCTCACTTTACATTTACTCCTACATGAGCAAGTTTTTGTTTGTGTACTTTGAAAATAAGTTAAAAAAAAAACAATCTCCTCTGAGAATAACAAGTTTATCATTCACCATCTTCATTTGCCATTACCTCCCAAAGCGAATGGTCATAGGCCCAGCAATGAGAGCCCCTGCAAACCCCCCCAGTGAGAAGATGGAGACAATGATTGTCCACACCAGCGTCACCTGGTAGTCCTCCAACTGGATGTCCCATCGCTGTAGGAAAGTCTCATTGATAAAAGTTTGAATAAACTGCAAGGAAAAAGAGACAAGGGTCAATCTTTTAAAGTTAAACTCGAGTCCAGACTGTGGTTAAAACTGACACTTATTACCTCTGTCTTAATCACATTTTGACTTGTTGTGTTCAGACACAAAAATAAAATGTGCCTTTTCTTTTTTTAGCTATGTTTTAACTGATGAAAATTTGTGTTTCTTAAAACTTTACAGCTGCTCCATTTCATAAAACTCTAGACTTCAGCCTGCAGAATTAGCCCAAAAAACTAAAACTGGACACTTTACAACAAGATCATTAATCTCTGAACCAATAAACCTAAATCTCATTTGGACCAAAAAAAAAAAAAAAACCCACACTGACCCAAATTATGAATTCGTAGAAGTCTGCACAGATCTTACAGGCGGCACTGAACTTTCCCAAGCAGTGAGATTAAAGACAAATTAATTTTGTAAATGAGGCGGCTGTGCCAGAGTGGTTAGGGGAGTCATCCTGTAACTGGTGGGCTACCAGTTTGATCCCCCTTTCCAGCTGTCTCAGTTGTGTCCTTGGACAAGACACTTCACCTAATGAAAACCTCTGATGTGTGCCTCATCACTGATCAGTCTCCATAGGATGATTTATTAGCATTGTAGTGCTCTAATAGAGTGCTGTGTGAATGGGTAAATGAGGGCACAGATTGTAGTGTRAAGCTCTTTGAGTATCTACATCTAGTAACACATTATCTGACATCTCATTAGATAGTGGAAAAAGTCATTTTTAAAGTTTGATCAAAACAGCCGCAACTCTCTCAACACAAGATCTCAGTCTGAAACTTTGGCTTTAAAAGTGGTGGGTTATAAGCATTCATCCTTTTAAAGTTTATTTTAGCATTTTAATCTGTAACTTTAAGCAAACACTTACAGTGGTGGGAGCATTCATTATAGCCAGGTTGTATCCATACTGAAGAGTTCCTCCAATGGCTGCAGAGGCAACCATCAGCACCAGAGTCAGAGGACTGCTCTGTCAGCACAAAATTCAAAGAGAATGAGTTTGATTGACCCTCCAATAACGGTTCTGTKTTGCTAAAACCTATTTAAATCAGRACTGTAATATGATAAATAACCAAAAACACGTTATATGTGCAGTGAGCATTAACATTAACGAGCTCCACAAGTCAAACAAGAGCAATCAAAAGATGAATTTACCTTTTGCGACATTGTTCAGTGAAGGTAAATGTACCTGATGGTGTCTGAACGAGCAGCAGAGGTCAGCCCARCTCAAATATGAATCTCACAAAGCTTCCACACGTGCACGCGCGTACAGAGCGCGTGTCAAGGAGATTTATGGCCTCCTGTAATTGGCTGAAACAACTATTTTTTCCCAACTCAACGCCACTGCAATGATTTACTTTAACACTTTTCTTCCAGTTAAACTGTGATAATTTGGAGTGGGGGGGGGGATTTGCAGACGTCACCGACAGTGCTTAAAAAGCAATTAAAGAGCTGCAGCGCATGCGCACATAGGTCAAGTGCAAAGGTGTAGATGATCTGCCACGTGAAGAAGACTTTTAATCTGGGTGCTACATTTTAAAAAGACAGAATATAAGGATTTTGTGTATTTTTACCTTTTAAAATAACTTTTAGCTATAAAAATAAACAAGCAAACCCTGTTTTTAATGCTTTTAGTGCAAAAGTTAAATAAACTGACATCCCTCAGCAAGAGTGGTACCTAACTAATTTTATACTCAATGATGTAATAAAATCTTAATTAGCTTTTTCGAGTTTTGCTGATTTTATCATAAAGTCACGGTTGTCCTCGGTGACATGACGTCTTGTGTCCAGCAGATGGCGCTCGTCTGTTTCACCCGCACACTCAGCTGCGGTTATTTCACTTGCTCATTTGTTTCGACAAAACTGGTTTGAACATTTCCAATACTTACAGTATCACCAGTGAAAGAATCAGTTTTGGTTTCATATTTAGGCTCAGATCAATCGCACCCAAATAAAATGTCATAATCATCAGCTGAATGTTAAAATAGCCCCCAAAATTCACAGATTTGTGATAGGCTAAATGTTTAGAGCTCAGATAATGTGTTGTGAACGAATTTCAGCTACTCCAACAACAAATTTCAGATCAATAATGATTAAACTGACTAGATAATTCTGTGATTTCTCAGTTTTATTAGGTGTGGGGCCAAAAATTGGGCTGACTATCCTGTGTTTATCAGTTGTGGCTGTGGTTACTTCGTTAATTTTTTTTTATTTAGTAGAAGTTGCCTGCTGATTTGTGACATATTTTACTAGACAGTATGCCAAAGCTGAAAATCTCCAGAGATCTAAGTTTCCTTATGAGTTTTACCAAAATCCAATTGAGCTTCATTGTATTTAGGTTATAGATTGTCACCCCAAAAATATCAGTGCCACCCTCAAACCAATGACAGCCTTTTGAGTTTTTATGTACAGCGGGTAAAATAAGTATTGAACACGTCAACATTTTTCTCAGTAAATATATTACTAGAGGTGCTAATGACATGAAATTTTCACCAGATGTCGGTAACAACCCAAGTGATCCATACATACAAAGAAATCAAACCACAAATGTCCAGAAATGAAGTTATTTGTATTAATGTGGAATGGCACAGGGAAAAAGTATTGAACACATGAAGAAAGGGAGGTGTAAAAAGGCATGGAAAGACAAGACACCAGCTGAACTCTCTCAGTAATTAGAAAGCAAGCCTGCCCCTTGTCAGTGCAAGTTAATTAATATCAGCTGGTTCAGTCTCAAATGATGGCCAGGTATCACACAAGAACCATCTGATGATGGGTAAAAGTAAAGAGCTCTCTCAAGACCTTCACAACCTTATTGTTGCAAAGCATAATGATGGCATCGGTTACAGAAGAATGTCTAAACTTCTGAAGGTTCCAGTGAGCACTGTTGGGGCCATAATTCAGAAGTGGAAAGAACATTATTTCACCATAAACCGACCACGACCAGGTGCTCCTCACAAGATTTCTGACAGAGGAGTGAAAAGAATTATCAGAAGAGTTGTCCAAGAGCCAAGGWCCACTTGTGGAGAGCTTCAGAAAGACCTGGAATTAGCAGGTACGATTGTTTCAAAGAAAACAATAAGTAATGCACTGAACCACCATGGCCTGTATGCACGCTCACCACGCAAGACTCCACTGCTGAAGAAACAGCATRWTGAAGCTCCTTTAAAGTTTGCTGCACAACATTTAGACAAGCCTGTGTAATACTGGGAGAATATAGTCTGGTCAGATGAGACCAACATTGAACTGTTTGGATGCCAGAATACACATCATGTTTGGAGGTCAAATGGCACTGCACATCAGCCCAAAAACACCATACCAACAGTGAAGTTTGGAGGTGGGAACATCATGGTGTGGGGCTGTTTTTCAGCATATGGTACTGGCAAACTTCAAATAATTGAAGGAAGGATGAGTGGAAAAATGTACAGAGACATTCTTGATAAAAATCTGCTTCCATCTACCAGGATGATGAAGATGAAACGTGGCTGGACATTTCAGCAAGACAATGAGCCCAAACACAAAGCCAAGGAAACTCTCAGTTGGTTTCAGAGAAAGAAACTAAAGCTGCTGGAATGGCCCAGCCAATCACCTGACCTGAATCCAACAGAAAATCTATGGAAAGAACTAAAGATCAGAGTTCATAGAAGAGGTCCACGAAACCTTCAAGATTTGAAGACTGTTTGTGTGGAAGAATGGACCAAAATCACACCTGAGCAATGCATGCCACTAGTTTCTCCATACAGGAGGCGTCTTGAAGCTGTCATTGACAACAAAGGCTTTTGTACAAAGTTTTAGATAAATTTCAGTAAGTGTGTTCAATACTTTTTCCCTGTGCCATTCCACATTATTACAAATAACTTCATTTCTGGACATTTATGGTTTGATTTCTTTGTATGTATGGATCACTTGGGTTGTTACTGACATCTGGTGAAAATTTCATGTCATTAGCACCTCTAGTAATATATTTACTGAGAAAAATGATGAHGTGTTCAATACTTATTTTACCCGCTGTATATAGCACCTCATCAAGTCCACTTGGACCCAAGGGGACTTTACACTTGACCCATTCAAACACACACTGGCGGTAAGCTCCAGCCACAGCTGCCCTGGGGGTGCCTCCGGACCCTCTGACCACCATCAAGGTGGGTGGAGTGTCTTGCCCAAGGACACACAGCTGGATGGGGGATCGAACCGGTGACCTTCTGGTTCCAGGATGACTCCCCTATCCACTCCACCACAGCTGCCCCAATTATGAACATTTGTTTAATCCCAAAAGTTTTTAAATTAATTGTTGCTGAAACAGCAAGTTTCTCAGTGGATCTGCGCTCGACAATGCAGCCTAGGTGGAGTAGTCGAACACAGATCCACTGATCCTTCAACACAGAGCATCTTCAAAAGACAAGTCGATAAAATAAAATTTAAAAATCTGTATTGTTGTAAATCAGAATATTTTTTAATTTTAATGTAATTTTAAATTGTTTTTTCAATTTTATTTTATGTCTCAGAGCCTGTTAGGCATATAAATAAATATAATTCAAATCAATTCAATTGAAAAATACTTTATTGATCCCAGAGGGAAATTTAGGTGTTGTTTTAACTCATTTAACTAAAGAGTTATGCTGATGGCTGTGGGCAGGAAAGATCTTCTGTAGCAGTCTGTATTACAGCGAAGTTGAAGAAGCCTTCGACTGAAGACACTTTGTCTTTCTATGACAGTCTGATGAAGAGGATGGTCAGGGTTGTCCACAATGTTCTTGATTTTATGTAAAATCCTTCTTTGCACCATCATCTCCAGAGGTTCCAGTCGTCCCCAGAACAGAACCAGCCTTCTTTATCAGGTTGTTTAGCCTTTTCCGGTCCCTGGCTCTGATGCTGCTGCCCCAACAGATGATGGCAGAAGAGATGACACTCTCAACAACAGACTTGTAGAAGATTTGCAGCATCTTGCTGCAGACATTGAAGGATCTCAGCTTCCTTAAGTCCTTACAGTCTGCTCTGTCCTTTCTTGTAGTCTGCTTCACTGTTGAGTCTCCAGTCCAGTCTGTTGTCAAATGAACACCGAGGTATTTATATTCCTCAACCACCTCCACTTCTTCTCCCATGATGGATAAAAGGGTTAAACAACTATCTCCCAACTCGCCCTGCTGCTACAAGTCTCCCACCTTTCCATGTCCTCCTTTCCCTGCTCCTCTGCACTGACATTATTATCCCTGCCCCATGTTCTGTCTTTCCCCGCAGCCAACAGTCTGCCTGCACCCCCCACTCCCGGTGTGGGAGTCATGATACAGATAAATTCCCGAAGGAGTTGACATATATGAAACTTGTAAGGCTTTTTACCTTTTAAATTTTTTAATTATATTTGAGTTTAATGTTCATTGTTCTACAAATTCCTGTTAGCTAAATTAATTTAAAATCCACTCTAAACAAAAGCACGAGTCGCAGGAGGATAAAATTATCTGGCTAAGGGCGGTCAAGGACGGGCCAGCTAATTGGYAGAAGTGGCCAGTGCCCCCCCCCCAGGTCCCCCCTTGGTGGCACTCCTGTGCAAAAGCAGCTAAAGTCCAATGAACAAGCTTTGAGGAATCTTCAGAAAAGTCTGAACATAATCCTGATGCAGACTGCTTAAAAAGATCAAGAGAAAGTTTGTGAGCAGAAGAGACATAATTATTTACAAGGTATTAAACAAGCGGCGTGTCATAATGAGGTCACAGTAAGCCCCGCCCCCTACGGTCCTCTCTGACAGGATTACACGAGTTTCCTCAATTTAGGAGCAGTGAAGTGAAACGCTCAGGCATCCAGTGAGAAAATAAGACGGGAAAAACTCTGCTGTAGATACTTTTCATCGACTTCATCTCTTTGCTTGTTTTTGTTGTTGTTTTCCTGCCGGATCAGATGTTTGTGTTGAACTGCGGTCTGCAGGTCTGTCCTGTGATTAAATGAGCTCTGATGCTGCAACACTCATGTGAAGGTTCCTGAACATTTCACTGGAAGCTGCTCCTCAGACTTTCTGTCTCCCAGTCGGCACGATGTTTTGGATCCTTTGGGATGCTCTGTTTTTGCTGGGCGGTGAGTTGAGTTTATTTTGGTCAAAGTTTCATTTGTTTTGCTCCTGTTTCCACTGATGATTCATGATTTTCCGGTTGGGATTGGATGACTTCACTGCTGTAATTTCATCCTTTTAATGGATGCTCGAAACTGCGGTCAATTTATGGCACAATGAGCAGGTCACGTGACAGGACTCAGGTAGTTCACAATGATTTTTCAGTGTATGAAATGAGGGGGAAAGGGGACATAATGACAGCAGTTTGTACATTTTTTTCTCATATTCATCAAGGTATTTTCTTCCTTCTCTGTAGAAGTTGTCAGAATAAATGTCTAGGTCAGTGGTTCCCAAATTTTCAGCTTCAAAGCCACAAAATAACATTAACAGAGAAGCTCGTAACCCCAAATAATGACCATTTAGATGCACAAGCTTAGCTAATAACTTTACTAAACATGACTACACAAACAAACCCAACAAGGAAACTATTTTTTCATATACTTCTATAAATAGTATTTCTAACATTTTTTGTTTTGCTTTCTGAAGTTTATTTAAGGTTGTAGGTGTTTCAGGACCAATTCCCAACTACAAGAACCATTGGTTCAGATCACATGTGGGCAACATACGGTCCGAGGGCCAGAATCAGCCGCTTGGCCATGTCGATTTGGTCCTTGATGCAAATAAAAAAAAACTTGAAACAAAATTAACTAAATTGTTATCTCAGGGAATGTTAAGTTGAGTTGTATTTTGGATTTCTGTCCATCTGTTCGTTTTCTCCCCAGCCACCTGGTTCCCCATCCAGTATTTTGGATTTTATTTATTTATTTTAAAAAGAGCATTGTCTATGTTTTTTTTTCTAAAAATAGACCTAAACTTTCCTTTGGCTGGATTTGAACAGGATTAAAGGTTTTAGAGAATTTAGTACTACATGTTGACATGGCCTAAATCAACTCTCAAGTTTTAGTTCACAGGTTGTATTTTTATAGGGAAATAGTGAACTATTCCCACCAAGAGTGCTACCTTCAGAGTTGTAAAGTAACTAAGTACAAATACTTTGTTACTGTACTTAAGTAAAAAATTTTTGGGTAGCTGTACTTTAATTGAGTAATAATTTTTTTAGCCTACTTTTTACTTCTCCTTACATTTTCACTCAATTATCTGTACTATCTACTCCTTACATTTTAAAAATAAAACAAGAAGTAGAAAGTCATTACTTTTATTTTTGCTTGTTTTCWTTCCAGCATTTTATTGTAAAAAACAAATACTATCTATTTAAATTGTGCCTCCTAGATAGAGTGAATTTAATTGTGGTTGAATGAGAAGTATAAATATATAAAACTCTGATACCGTATTAGTTTGTACACAAACAAATCATGTCACACTCCAGCAGGACATAATCAAATAAAATAAGAGAGCTCTACTTAAGAAGTATTTGTATTTCATGAATTATATTATTGCAATTGGCTGCAGCCCTCAGATAGATTTGTATTTTGGGGAAAGGTTTGGGCAGTCTTTATATGTATATAAACTGAAACAGCTAGACTAATACATCCTAAATTTAACATAAATTTGTTATGTTGATACGACAGTCATTTCAGCATTTTTGGGAGGTCATAAATGTCATAACAGAAAATTTAACTGCTCATTTAAAATCAATACTTTTACTTTTAATACTTAAGTACAAAAAATATCAGGTACTTTAATACTTTTACTCAAGTAATATTCCTAAAGGAGACTTGAACTTTTACCAAAGTATTTTTTTGGTAAAATACATGTACTTTTACTCAAGTATCACTTTGTGTTACTTTATACAACACTGGCTACCTTTGCTACAAGCTGATCGTAATCTGTAAAACAGATAAATCCTGAATGGCTCTTTTCGATCGGTTTGCTTGAACAAATGTTTTTACAAAGCAGTCAGTCTAAAAAATGTGTAAAAATTGTTCCATTAGAATCAAAACAAAGCCAGCCTTTTTGTCCTGATTGAGTTTGTTTGCAGATGATTCAACGTTTTGTATAATAGATGTAATAGTTTGAATTCCAGGTGTGGCGCTAAATTAAAATGGCCCTCCACAAAACAACCATGTCGTGTTTCACAGAGCGCCTTTTTTTTATTTCTCCTCTGCAGGTCCTCTCTTTACGTTTGGAACTGGTCCTGGCAGTTCAACAATAGTTAAAGCCAACATTTCCATCGATTCAAACTCTCCCGCTGCTCCAAACTCATCCAGCAGCAACTCTTTGATGGCTGCTGGCAAAGATGCTCTTACGACTGATATTCCTACATATAAAGGTAAGTTGTTCAAGCGCTCTGTGCAAGACTTTATTCCAACCTTTGATTATGTTTGTGTCCTCTGTCACTAGGTTCGCTTGTTTCATCTGAACCTCGGTGGACGCATCAAACGATTATAGATGCTACAGTTTCTGTCAATGTCACATCTGCTGAGGAAACCTACAATTCAACAAGCAGCAGCAGAATGTCCTCAACTAAAAGACCTGCTGCGGCCAACAACCATCCAGTTAAAAGTAAGTAGTATTTATTTCCTAGTATTCACACAAAACAAGCTGTTTACCCTCACCGTGCCTGCTGTCCCGGCGGGAGAGCGCGGCATTGTTTCTCGCAGCGTATCGACATCATGCGGACAGTGTGGTGCGCACTGATAATTGATCCTCTTAGCATCCTTGTGGGCAGCTATTATAATAAATCACAGATAATGAGCTGTACATTTAGCGGTTGTGCAAACGCCAGGTCCTACAGTGTTGAATTGTTGTCTGCGGGGGAAAAAAAAGGCACCTCACTCTCCCTGAAGGCTGGTTTCTGTGTCAGCGTTCCTTTCGTTCGACTGCCAGAATCACATGGAAAAGGGAGAGGGCTCGGCAGATGCCTGAGGGACAACCGAGTGCTTTCACCGAGTCTGAAAGGAGGAGACAATGCATGTAGGCTGCAATCCAAAGCCTCATTTACCAATGGAATGGAGTGTTTGACGAGGGCCGTAATGCAGCTATCTGTCTGGATGCTCTTCCTCTACTCACACTGAATGCCACACTGTGCCGTCTTGTTTTCGGATACTTGTGCGACTCTGACTTTAGTTTGAGTCAGTGACAGAGGAATTTCTCTGACTGTACAGCTTGGGTGGAAGAAATCGTCTGTTTTTGTCCAGATCTAGTTGCCCGGTGTTTTGTCAAGGGTGAAAAGTGAGATGGTTTCTTCAAGGTTTTTAATTTCTTCCATAGAAACTGTCATTGCTGCAGGGATGTACTCTCTCCTAACATGGGCTGATGAACAGAGGGTTTTGTTCCAGGACTTCTCTTTGACTCTTTAATTGTGCCTCTCAGGTAAAATGAGATATGTAAGCCACCACAGCACGGAAGACGAGGCTTAGCAGGCTGTCAGTAGTGGCGTAGGCGTTAGCTTTAGCCTTTAGCATACATCTCTATTTCAGTCTTCCAGAAAGTCTTTTGCTTTTGTGAGGTTTTGACATTATGTGTAAAAGAAAACCAGTCAGTTGTGACACTTGACCTCATGAACACGCCTTGTTTACTACTTGACCTAAATATTGATAGAGAATTTTTGTGTCCCACCTTACAAATCATCAACTTTTAACCAGTGGCTTTGCAATGGCTTATGTGTGTTTGGGGTTTTCATGAACCACTGGACTCATTTTAATGAAATGTGCAGAAATAATCAATGACTCTACGTTTGCAACTGAGTCACCATGATCCAAGACAGCTACCACAGCCAAGTGACACTAAAATAACAACATAAAAAATGGCTACAACTCGGTCACTTTTACATGTATTAGGCTAGAAAGATTGGGCCTCATGCAAGAACCGTTCGTACGCACAGATTTGTTCTTAAATTGTGCGTACGAGTGATTTAGGAGAATTTGTGGCATTCACC